ACAGTTGCAGAATAATTTATTTACCATCTTCGATATGCCTACAATAGTGCATAATTTGGAGTTCTTGGATTTTTCAGTGAATGATATTAGTGGACTGCTCCCTGATAATATCGGTCATGCGCTTCCGAATCTGGTACGAATGAACGGCTCAAATAATGGGTTTCAAGGGCATTTACCATCTTCAATGGGTGAGATGGTAAATATTACATTTCTGGATCTATCTTATAATAACTTCTCTGGGAACTTACCTAGAAGCTTTGTCATGGGTTGTTTTTCACTAAAACACCTAAAGCTTTCTCACAACAAATTTAATGGCCATTTTCTTCCAAGAGAAACAAGCTTCACTTCCCTGGAAGAGTTGAGAATAGATAGCAACTTATTTACTGGGAAGATCGGAGTTGGTTTGCTTAGCTCCAACACTACGTTGTCAATTCTTGACATGTCTAACAATTTTCTCACGGGGGATATTCCAAGTTGGATGGCTAACTTATCTTCTTTAAATATGTTATCGATATCAAACAATTTCTTAGAAGGTACAATACCACCATCTTTGTTGGCCATTAGCTTTCTTTCGCTTATTGACCTATCTGGAAACATCTTATCTGGAGCCTTACCGTCACATATTGGTGGGGAGTTTGGGATAAAATTGTTCCTACACGACAACAACCTCACAGGGCCGATTCCAGACACGTTGTTGGAAAAAGTTCAAATACTGGATCTACGATACAATAAACTTTCTGGGAGTATTCCGGAATTTGTCAATACCGAGAGCATATTTATTCTTTTGTTGAGGGGAAATAATTTAACAGGACCTATCTCAAGGACGCTTTGTCATTTGAGAAAAATCAGACTTTTAGATTTTTCAGATAACAAGCTCAACGGCTTCATACCTTCATGCCTGTATAATTTATCATTTGGACGAGAAGATACAAATTTAAATATAGGTACAGCCATATCGAAGATTACTCCGTTCAAATTTTATGAATCCACATTTGTGGTAGAGGAGTTTGTGGTAATGTCCTCTAGTTTGCAAGAAATTGAAATCAAATTTTCAACAAAGCGAAGGTATGATTCTTATTTTGGAGCAACTGAGTTCAACAATTACGTACTTGATTATATGTATGGAATGGATCTTTCAAGCAATGAATTAAGTGGAGTTATCCCAGCAGAGCTTGGAGATCTCTCAAAACTACGAGTCATGAATTTATCTCGCAACTTCTTGTCGAGTTCTATACCGTCTAGCTTCTCCAATCTGAAAGATATTGAGAGCCTTGACCTTTCGCATAACAAGTTACAAGGAAGAATTCCTCACGAGCTAACCAACCTTTCTTCTCTTGTTGTCTTTGATGTGTCTTACAATAATTTATCTGGAATGATTCCCCAAGGAAGACAATTTAATACCTTTGACGAGAACAGCTACTTGGGCAATCCTCTTCTTTGTGGACCACCAACCAATAGAAGTTGTGAGCCTAAGAAAGGCTCAGAGGAATCAGAAAGTGGAGGAGAAGAAGAAGAAGAAAATGATGAACCTCCTATTGACATGTTGGCCTTCTATTTTGGTACTGCTTCCACATATGTAACCGTATTGATAGGCATTCTGATACTTATGTGCTTTGATTGTCCTTTGAGTCGAGCATGGCTCCGCATTGTCGATGCTTCCATCGCCTCAATCAAAAGTATGTTGGCTTAAAGTAATTTCACTTTAATTTTTACCATTGTGTTTCTATAACTATATGTGATTTGGATTTTACCTTACATGGTAATGAGTTGAAGTGTTGAATTGTCCTTATGTATCATTATGACAAAAGTTTCTATTTGCTTTATCTTCTCTTTAGTCTCTATGAAATTAAGGCTCCGAATGGTAACCGCGTTTTGCGGTGCGGGAGAAGTGCGGTATTATAGTGCGGTACGGTTCAACTGCGGGACGTGCGGGAGAAATATATTTGCGGGACAAGTGCGGTTTGTATAAAATAAGCGGTACGAAATAATATTTGATTGGTGAAAAAAGCTATTTGCGGGATAAGTGCGGTTTTATATATAAATATATATATAAATTAATAATTAATTATTTTTTTGTTAATAAATAAACAATAACAGATATTTATAAACCATTAATACACAAATTGATCAAAATATAAATTTAATTTTTAAACATACATATTGTTGAATCCGTTGAATAATTTTATCATAAAAAAAAGTACAACACATTAAAAAGTATTATCTATTACTTTGATTTTCCCATAACATATTTGCAATATTATCTCTTATTTGCTTCATATATTCTCCATCTCTTATCTCCGTTGCTTCTATGTCATCTATTTTATATTTAAATCATTTACAAGTAGGCTTCTATGTCATCTATTCTATATTATCTCATATATTCTATATCATCGGTTATTTCATAAATGATATATATATTTAAATCATTTACAAAAGATACACAATAATTCATATTATTTTTCATAACCTATTTAAATATTAACATCATTTACATTGATTAATGCAAAATTTTAATTTTTTTTTTTCAAATGACACAAATTAACATCAATAATAACAAATGATGAAAATAGTTGCATCACTTTTTTAAATGGACACAAAATATTAGAGTCACCATTTTTTTTTTTTTTTTGGGCAAAGAGTCACCATTTATAAATTAAAATATTACCTGAAAATGTGGGAGACTTGAGAATAAATTTTTAAAGAAAAATTATCAAAAAAAAATGTTAAAGTTTGTATTTGTGTATAAAAGAGAAGTTTGTATTTGTTATGAAAGATATTAAAATGTTTGTGTTTGTGTATAAAAAAAATGAAACATGTTTGTGTTTTAACATGTATATGTATTTTGTTAAACAAAAAAAAAGGGAAAAAAGCTGTATATGTACTAGTAGTTTTAATTATTTAAAATGCAAAAGCATGTTTTATTATCCGTTGTATTATTTGTTGCTGCGGTTTTGAAAACCGCTGGATAATGACCAGAAATTTTTTATAAGGCGGTCCAAGGCTTTAACCGCTGGACAATTCCGCAAATTTTTTTTTTTTTTTTTTTTTTGAAAAACGCAAATCTGTTCAAAAAATGGTGAATGGTGACCAATTGACGGATTTGCTGAAAAAGGTAAAAAAACGCCCTTTTTAGTGTTACCATTCACACCCTAAGTTTAAATGATCGTAATATAAAGAATCCAAAGGCTAGACCTTTATTTATTGAATTTTGGAAGAAGTCTCACAATTTAATAAAAATAATATCCAATTTGTTTTTGGGTGAGTTACTATAATAGTACATAAAAGATATAAAATGAAAAAAGAGGGGTAAGAAATATTAGAAATTAAATAGGGTTGGGCAAACTTTCTGAACCGGGTCAAAATTCTCAAACCTGAACCCGAAACAAATTATAAAATAACCCAAATGGAAGAAAAACCGAATTTTCTAATCATGAACTGATCTAAACCCGAACTATGAAAAACCAAACCATACTAACCAAAATTCATTACTAGAACTAATATTTTTTAATAAAATGTGTATGAATATATCTTTAAATATATTAAAAGTATGCAATTTTAATTAAAATCAGTTAGTTATTAATATACCTATATAATTACTTTGTCAAAATCAAACTAAACTGATAATTTGATCCTGAATGGGGCCTATTTTCTAGAACCTAATACAATTGAGTAAAATCGAATAAAATTATTCCTCAAATGGTCCTAATATCTAAAGTTTAAAAATGAAAAATCAGAATAAACTGAACCGATTAACTGAATGCTCATCCCTACTACAATGAATTTTAGACCCATAATACCTCCACAAGATTTTAAAACCAAAAAAAACAAATTAAATTTTTTGCCATTAATAAAAGGTGCCATGTAGACGGAATGATGGATGGAAAAAACCGTTCTCGCGTTTTTGGCGTTAGGTTTAATCCATATTTAAATGGTGGCAAACTTGCTAGTATGGTGGTATACTTATTTGGTAGATAAAAAATTTCAACAAATTTTCATGACAGAGTTAATAATAATTGTGGTAGATACAATGTAGTACGGTGCAATTGCTTGTATGATATGTTTAACAGATTTAGTTCTTTTAAGTAAATTTATTTGAAAATTTTATTATATTCAGGAATAGACTTTGTAAGAAACAACATATTTATTTGACAAATATATATCTTGTAATGACAAACTTGTCTCTCTTGATAGATTTATTTTCCATAGCGACATAGTCAATGTAATAAATTACTTACTAAAGTAGCACAACAATGATACTATAGACTTATATTTCGTTCTAGTACATTTTGTTAGTGTATCAGCTTTTAGAAATAGTTGTGACAGAGTAGATCTGTATTCGTTGCGACAGACTTAAGTAAATTTCTTATGAACTTCTTATCAGTATCAATTTCTTACGGGACACTTCGTACAAGCTATTTTCGTAGGAAAACGGTAGAAAAGGCCTTTTCCTACGATTTTCCTACGTTTTTAGCCGTAAGAAAATGATGTTTTTCTTGTAGTTTGAATCTGATTGAAATGGCAAAACATGGGTGAACGACCTGTGTCCCCCCACGAAGTTTCATATAGTACCATAACAACACAGATTTCGGGTCTCGTCTCCAGTCCACACAAAACGAAAGTTAAACTCTAATTTCCCCCTAAATTGAAAGTTCGAGACCTCAGTCTCCATAAATTCAAATTTCGTGGTTTATCATTGGTTTACTGTGCCGAACCCGATGCCAAACTAAAACCCAGAATAATAAACCAGCCAAAACCCAGAATAATAAACCGGATAATAAACCATCCTCTTCTCTCTCTCTACCTTCTTCACCATCTTCAATTTTAACAATCAAAAGCAAACCAAAAGCTAAGCATTCCCAAATACCAATCAAATTCACAGATTCACAAGTAATTCCAAGGTATAAGGAATCTTCAAATTCACAACTGAGTCGGAGTTAATCAATCAAAAATGTTATCTTTTGAAGTATAAACGACTGTGACTGTCTCACATTGACTAACTCAGAACCCTTTTGATTTATCAGCTTGCTCCACTCATCTTCTCTCTCCTTCCCCAACGAAATATTCTCAAAGGTTCCACAGACAGAACCAGAATCAATTGATTTCAGCAGACCTAAAGCAAGAAGCTTGTACAAGGGATAATCAGGAACACCTCCAAATCGGTGTAGCAAGGAAGACGATTCGATTCGTTCACCGTCGAGAAGAATTGATTCGCCGCAAAGAAGGCCAAAGCAGAAATCATCGGTGAGCTCTAAATCGAATTCTACACGGCAATCTAGTGTGAATTTCACCATCTCCTCTAGGCAAAGTTCAAGACTTTTCTCGAAGACTCCATAGTGAAATCGTTCTGATTCTAAAAAAATGGTTCTTTTTTTTTCTGAACATGAGAAAGTTTGGTTTTTTTTTTTCTTTAAATTTATCCCAGAAAAAAAAAAGCTTCAATAAAATGGATTGTTTGATTAATAAATCAACATATTACAAAAGTCTAAAACTTGTGGTCTAAGCTAATGCTTTTCTGCTGAGATAGAAACAAAAAAACCTAAAAATTGAAAGAATCAATTTAGAAGAAAGTTCTGAAAAAAGCAAAGAAGAAGAAGATGAATGAGTCATTCATGGTAGATTTGATGAAGGAGAGATTGCTTTATAGAGATAAAAAAATAGCCATCGTTCAACTTCTCCGGCAATGGTGGCATCCGCTTCCATGTCTCCGACACATTCTCATTCAAACTGTAATATCAAAAAGAAACTAATGATATACTTAAAAAAATCAAGAGAATCAAACATAGACATCATGAAATTTTGCGGAATTGATGATTATGTTACTTACTTTTTGACAAGGCTATTGATGTTCTCCCGGATTGAAGATGGTGAAGAAGGTAGAGAGAGAGAGAGGAGGATGGTTTATTATCCGGTTTATTATTCTGGGTTTTGGCCGGTTTATTATTCTGGGTTTTGGTTTGGCATCGGGTTCGGCACAGTAAACCAATGATAACCACGAAATTTGAATTTATGGAGACTGAGGTCTCGAACTTTCAATTTAGGGGGAAATTGGAGTTTAACTTTCGTTTTGTGTGGGCTGGAGACGAGACCCGAAATCTGTGTTGTTATGGTACTATATGAAACTTCGTGGGGGGACACATGTCGTTCACCCGGCAAAACATTGATACAATTATATGAAAGTGGTGACAAACTTCTTAATCCCCAAACTAAATTACTAACTCTCTCATAAATATGGATATAACTCTGTCATAACTACAAATATAACTTTGCCATAACTCATAACTATGGTTCAATGACTCGAAAGGAAGATGAAACCGATATTGATGTTGTCCCTTGTGATTATATTAACTATTGTTCACAAGATTAACATAGTCAATTCTCGATTGTTAGATACAATAGGGTAAATTTGAACTTTGTTGTTGTATCTATATACTTCCAGGCAAAGAACGTGTGGGTGACAAAACGAAGTGCATATTTTATGGTACAGTTTTGGACCTTGGATAGCCCCACTTATTAGTATGCCCAAAAAAAAAAAAAAAGGATAACCCCACTTATTGCCAAGGTGATTGTCAGAGGTATGGTTTTCCAACGATAATTCTCCTAATAGAAACTTAGGAACTTGCCGAGTTCGAATTAGGAACACCATATAGGTCATAAAAGTTAGGAACTTGTGGCTTATTGTGTTAAGTTTCTAAATCCTGGAGATCAATTGATGGTCTGAATCGAGAAAATATGTTGTTTGGTAATCAAAACCAAGAAAATCTCATGTTACCACTTTTTAGCATAGAGAATACTTCTATACAAGCTCAATTCTCTTTACTTATGGATTGTTCTTTATATTTAGTTCGATTTAAGATATTATAATTCTACCTATTTTTTTGCACTTCAATTTTAGAATCAAAACGTATAAATCGTGATTTTGTGTTCACCTCTTCTCATTACTCTTCTACTTGCATAAACAAACCAACTATCAATTTGGTTGCCCTCGTATTGATCTTTGACTAATATCATGTAGAGGAGAATTAGTATCTTTTTTCGACACTAATAAATTTCAATTTGATTAAGAGAAAAAAAAAATCATTGTCTTAGCAAATTTAAATAAAACATACAATATATGAAAACAATTGAAGCTTATGCCTATGAGCCCACTTAGTTGCACCTCCAAAAGAACAAGCTATAAGTGTTGTCCCCAAAATACATGTCATGCAACTGGAAGAGATTAATAACAAGTGTTACGGGAAAAGAACTAAAGTTATCCGCCGACCTTTGCCGCATGGGTCTCTGATATACCACAAGAAAACAGCGAATTAGCAACTGCCTGTTGCGATTGATAACGCTGTCGCTAAATTTGGCGAATAAGTTATGATGTTTTTGCTACTTAAGGGTCAATAAACCAATATAGTCGCCACTCCGTCCGTATTTTGAGACTGATACAAATAGTCGCAATATTGTCACAATTCTTGAGACTAATTAGCTACTCTGAAGCGACTTTGTTATTTCATTTGGGCCCCAAACCAAAATGAAAACTTATTGGGTTTGGACACTCGATCCATTCGAAAAAACCCGAATCTATGCGACTAAAATCCTATTGTCTCCCACAGTTAGAAAAAACCCTAATTTCTTCTTTGTCAATGGACCCTAATCTCTCTCTCATTCCTCTTTTCTCTCAATCGATCTTCATCGATCTTACTCTTTTCTCGACAAACCATAGATTTTGATGGCTCCTCGTGGAAGAAAGCATAGAGGAGGAGGAGGATGAGGAAGGACTATGAAAAATCCTCAAAATCGGCCTTCGGCTCAAGATCCAGAGTCTTAGACGCCGAATCAAAGACCCTCTGGTCTTATTAGCCTCCAATGTGTCCTACATATAGAGACTATCCACCTCCGACGAATCTTTTCCAGCCGGCAAAGAGCACTCCGACGGGCAAAGATCTAATCCGTTCTCCATCTCCTCAACCTCGAGCCTCTGGATCGAGTCAATTTCGAGCCTCTGGATCGACTTAACTTTGAGGATCTGAATCGACTCAACGTCGAGACTCTGGAACGAATCAACCTCCAACCTCAAATCAACCTCTAGCATTGATTCAACCTCCAACAGCGAATCAACCGCGAGCCTCGAATCCTCCTCGAGCATGTGTATCGCATCACAGTTCCCAAGCGCAAAACTCACACGAGGAAGAAGATAAAGAACCTAATTCCGAGGAAGATGTGCTAAGGGATTCAAGTCTCCCGGAAGATGTGCTCGCTGCTTTACATGAGCTGATTGTCTAGCCAAGCTGTGAGCAATATACCACCATCATATCTCCCAGATAGGAGCTCAGAACCACTTGGTAAGCATCTCCGCTTACCATCTTATCAGCTATTTTTGAACTAGGAAGCTAGATTGTGTTTTATGTTTGGAACTAGGAGATAAAATGTGGTTTGATTGAATCTTGTTTGTGTTTTGTGATCCAATCTTGTTTGTGTTTTGTTTTGAAATGCAGTTTGACTGAACCTCTGCGGGTTTTTGTTGACCAATATGCTGATAAAAGAAGTGAAAGTTTGTTTTTTAGTAATCAATCAAAAACTGAATAAAATAGATCCAATCTTGTTTGTGTTTGTGTTTCTTGTTTGTAAAATTTGGGTTGATTGAACCTTTGCGATCCAATCTTGTTTGTAAAATGTGTTTCTTGTTTATGTTTGTCTATTCAGTTTGTCAACACCGTATGAAAGACTTGGTTTCCAAGGCAGTGAGTCGAATAGAGCAACCGTTTTGGATTGACAATACACGTGGAAAGAAATATGTGACTAGTGGGACACAGAAAAAGCCATAGCAAAGAGTGCAACCACATCAGCAGCTCGAATGTCTGACCGTAATGGTCTTGGTCCTCATAAGCACGTATCGGGGCCGAAGTCTTACACATACAAGTCAAACAAGAGATGGTAAGTTACATCAAGAGATGGTAAGTTATACAAGTAGGACACATATATTTCCTAAATCATTTACCTTTTCATCGTTTAACATTTCAAGAAGTTGAATTGGGAAGACCGCCTACTCTTGGTGAAGTTTTCATCAGGACTCATAGCAAAAAAGATGGGACTTTTGTCGATAGGAAAGCGCATGAAGTTCATGAGGCATTTAAGAAGAACAAGGCAACTAAGTTGGCTGCCTTTAAGAATGATGAGTCGTCCGACGGTACTTCTCATCGATCAGAGCTATCCCAAGAGGAGGATGACGAGATCTTTCTTCAAGTATTGTGCTTCTTTATGTTTGCTTTTTTCTAATATTATCGTTTTGAAAATCTGTTAAGGACTAATACTCTTTGTTTTGTTTATGCAGCTACTATCACAAAAGACAGAGAAGAAATATTTGGAGTTGGAAGCCTAGGGAGTAACATCAACGAGAAGCGGAAGTACCCGGGAAGCTCTTCTTCTTTCAAAAGCTTGCAAACACAGCTTGAGGAAGCTACCCGCAAAATAAAGAAACAAGCAGAGCGTGAAGCAGAGGCTTTGCGGGTTGCAGCTGAGCAACAAGCAGAGATCAAACACTTGAATCTTGATGATCGTGAAGAACACATTTTTACATATATTATTTTCATTAAACTCGAGTTTTTTGGGCGATCCCACGAGAATTGAGACGGGAGAACCAGCTGGCTCTGGGTTCTTAAAATAGGAAACCATATGAATAATTGAAAAAGCCCCAAATCCCACTCGAGTATCCAAATCTGGATTGAGTATTGTCCAACAAATTGTTTGTCAATGACTAACTCCATTTGGATTGAAATTCGATTTGAACTGAATGGCTTGGCATTGCAAGCCCCCAACAAGAGGCCCACGCCAAATGTTCTATGGATACAAGTACTTGAGCGCAACTGGCCCGAAATTTTTCGAAATCCTCGAGTCTCAAAGGACTGATCCTGCTACTGCTCATGTTCAAACATAGGTCCCTTAAACTTTCCCTCTTTCTCTGAACTTGAAAACTTGTGTGTTGGTTTTGAACTTGTGTGTTTGTTGTTTGGTTTGGAACTTATGAACAAGTATGTTTATTGTGTTTTATGTTTTAAATACAAGTTTCTTATGTTTTATATACAAGTCTGTTTGAGAATTAAAGCATGCTAAATTGAGAATTAAACGGCTAATTAGTCACAAAGTAGTAGCAATTCAGTCACCAACAAAGTCACAAAACAGTCGCCATGTAGAAGCATAAAAGTCGCATAACACTCGCTAAAACAGTCACAAAAACAGTCGCCATATCATGGCATGGATGTGGCATAATAGTCGCTATTGTTAGCGACTACATTGCGACGTAATAGCGACGCATGAAATTGGTCGCACATTAGTCGCTAATTAACGACCAATAATTTTAACGAAGCGTGGTTTGGCGACTACGTGTTTCACTTGCAAAACAGTCGTAAGTAAGGGTTTAATGACTGTTTAGTGACTACTTATATAGTCCCTAATTCTTCGTTTTCTTGTATTATATATATATAGTGAATCAAACAGTTGCCAAAAATAATAATCAGAATGTCGATTATTCAATTTTTTACGAATACCTTAGTCGCAAAAATCTCTTATCCTTTCAATAAACTAAAATTCCAACGAAATAAGTCGGAGGAAAACCCACATAACCACATCTAAAACGAAAACGAAACCGCCTAAAATGACAACACCAGAATTAGGACCGCAAAGATTATTCAAAGAGAAACTAGAAACATATTACCAAAAACTTATAACCGTCACATAAACCAAACATATGGAAAACCATAGCCAGATTTAAACAAAAACCAATGTTTTAAAACCCGACCCAGACGGTGAACCGAACTACCTTCGGGTCATCTGGTTACTGGAACAATTGATTTAAATTTGTTTAATGTATTTAATATATTTATATATATATATATATATATATATATATATATATATATATATATATATATATATTTTAATATTATAAAATAAAAATTATTATACTAGTTTGACGTAATATGAAGTCTAAAATAATAATTAACTGATTAATTTTTTTAATCCAAGTAAAACCATAAAAATACTAAGATAGTAGGATAGTGAATACGAAAAACTGATTTTTTTTTTTAAATTACCGAATACAAAATAATGAATATCCGGCCGATTCAATCGGTTCACCGGATCGTGGGTTAACAGTGGGTTTTTGTGGAGTTTTCTGATTTTGAAATTGTTGGATATTAGTACTAAACCCAAACCGAAGAAGTATCCTGATCATAGTTTAACCGATCAGACTGAACGGTTCGGATTGGACGTAAAAACATCGACAGAAACCAAAACTAAACCACACCGGAGAAAAAAAAAAGGGAAAATGTTTCTCAGCTACGCCAACAACACGTCATCACATCGTCACACATGCAGACAAAGAAAATGTTGCGACAACTACACCAACTACTGTAATCACATAACGACATGCACGAACTAACTTGAGTCATGGTGCCGACACCATAAACATACATTCCGGTACCGGTCCGGTGAAAGAGACGACGGAACCCGGCACCGGAGATACCATCGGAGATACCCAATTTTAAACCCGACCCAGATTTAAAAAAAAAAACCATATTAAAATAAAACCCGACCATAAACCCGTGGTAAAACCCAACCCATTTTCCCAAATTAAAACAAACCTAAATTAACCTAAATGTCGATTCTCTATTCTTAGTCTGGTTTCGAGAGCTTAGAAGTTTTTTGTCTGGGTGAGGTGTGTTGAGGAAAAGAGATTTCTAATAGAAGAGTTTTGTTGTAAGATGGATACAAGTAGGGGGTCATCTAGTTTGACTAGATCGTCTGGAGCTCTGAAAAAGTTTAATTGCCGGCGAAGATATACAAATCAAAGATAGAGAAGAATCCTGGTAGAAGGTTTTTCTGATGTTAATTGTACAAGGTATGGTTTGATTTATGGTTTAATTTATGGTCTGATTTCGGATGTCAATCCTGGTAGAGAATTGGGAACTTATGTGTGTTTTTGATGTTCGTAGGATGGATGCAGTGAGGCACTGCAAATTATTTAAGTGGTATGATGAAGAAGAGGTTCAAGGATGGCCGAGAAACGCATTGACCAAAGCTGTTGCAGAAATTCGTGAGAAGGAAAAAGTGATTGAAGAATTTCAAATGACAATCATGGGACTTCGTAGTGAGTTGGAGAAGCAAGTGGAAGATGCCGAAAAAGTTGTGTATAGACAACGATTGGTTATCACCGGTTTAGCCGGATTGCTTGTCTGTGTTTAGCCGGATTGAGTTATGTTAACATAAGACTTATTGATGTGTCTATAATTTGCATGTTTTCTGCATTCATTCATCATTGTTTTGAGTCTAGTTTCATAACATTCATCACTGTTTCATATCATTCTTCATCATTCTTGCATATTTTGCATGATTAGGATAGGTTTGCATGCATTCTGCATTTCTGAGTTGTATTTAGGTGATTTGGAGCTGTTGGCGATCAAATTAGAAGAAGCGAGCCGGAGTCAACAGACTATACTCGACCACAAGGTCGAGTGATTCCTGCAACACTTACTCGACCATGTGGAGTGACACCAGCGCCAGTCTTCCTCAATCACTCGATCACGCCACTCGATCGCACCACTCGATCACAAGGTCGAGTGTTCTCAGCCAGTCACTCCTCTGCCACTCGATGACGGTACTCAACCACAACACTCGACCACGAGGTCGAGTATCCACAGCCATCGCCCTGAGAACCACTCGACCACATCACTCTGCCATTCACTCGATCACGTCTTCCGAGCTTTCTCAATTCCGCACTCAACCAGACAAGCTGAGCATAAGGAAGAGAAGAGGAGAAGAGGAAGTGTTTGGAAGCGGTCTGGAGTTTCACTCGATCGCAAGGCCCAGCTTTGGCCCATTATCACTCTACGGGCCGATCAAGTTGATTCACGACCCATCTCTTATCGTTTTGTATAAATAAGTCTTCGAGGATTTTGTCCCGAGACATCACGTTTTACATCTAGGTTTTACATCGACTTTTTACTTAGTTTTTGCTTCCAGTTTTTATCGCTGTTTAACCTAGTTACTCTATCACATCGCCGCTTTCCTTCTGCAACTTGTAATTTGATATTTTTCCAAGATATTCAGATTTCGCGTTTGATTGGTTCTATCACTTTGTTTCTCTACTCTCAATCTCTTTATTAATGCAATGTTCTTGTTTATTCGCGATTGTGTTTTTGAGCATGTTGTCTGAGTAGTGACATAGAATTCTTAAGGATGGGATAGAATGGTTGTGGAATCCGTAGTCTTTTAGATGGTTAAACTATAGAATTGATTGAATCCCTTCTGGACTAGTTGAGTTTATTGCTTGTTTCTTTCTGATCAACTGGAACTCGATCCAAAGCATTCCCGCACCCAGAAGGTGTTCGATGGAATGCTTGATCCACTAGTTCCAGAGATATGCGTCTCTATCCCAAGGGATTGGCCGCTTAGAGCGTTTATTGACTGTAATAGGTTGAATCGTATCGCCTGCATAGTTAGATTCCGTTAATGGGAATTAGTCTGGGCTAGCTTTGCTTAAGGATTTGTTGCACGGGAGTGAATAAATCTGTTGTTGAACATGTTGTCTAAGGATAGCTTGATTGCGCTTTGTTAACCATCTGAATAGGCGAAGGAGACCACTCCATTCGATTACCTCATCGTTAGGAATTTCTCGTCTATTTGATTTCTCTGTTTTCATTGCTTTTGATTAATCGTTCTCATTGCCCGTTGCTTAGTTTTCACATTTCTTACCTGTTTTCACTCATTCACTCGACCACATCCAGTGTCTGGTAACAGACTGTGTGGTAGAGTGCTTTTGTTGCAGTTTCTGCCTGTTACTCGACCAGTCACTCGATCACATCCTGCTCCTGGCATCAGCCAGTTGTGGTCGAGTGATTTCTGTAATTCTGCATTTATTTCTGTTTCTGCATGTTCACTTATGACTGTTAGAAACTCCAAAACCTATAATTGCTTGGCTTGACTTAGTGACTTCTGATCACATCTCATCTGTTTGCAATCACACCTATTTGGATTGACACCTAAAATACTACAACGACACGATAAGTGTTTTAGGATAATTGATCTTAAAAACCTATTATCAATTTGGCGCCGTTGCCATTTGGGTGTTTGTTTGCTATATTTGAGATTTCAGAATATTTAAGATCAAGTTCTTTTTCGTTTTTTATTTCCAGTTACTAATTCTGTGTTTTTTCTGTTTGTCTGTTTTGAATTCAGGTACTGCGAATCAACAGCTTTACTCGACCTCCTCTGGTTGATAATTGTTGTATGCAAACTCGATCAAAAGGACATCAGAACCTGCTTTTCAACGAGAACATCGATCGTATTGCTCGTGAATTAAGGGAACATATACACACAGACACTATGGCTGACGAACAGAACCCAGAACTACCAACCTACATTGGTGCAGGCGATGCACCACGCAACCACAATCAGCGTAATGGCATTGCGCCTCCGCCAGTGCAGAACAACAACTTTGAGATCAAGAGTGGCCTCATTGCCATGGTTCAGAACAACAAGTTTCACGGCCTCCCCATGGAGGATCCACTCGATCACCTGGACGAGTTTGATAGGCTCTGCAGCCTAACAAAGATCAATGGAGTCAGTGAGGATGGCTTCAAGCTCAGATTGTTTCCATTCTCTCTTGGAGACAAAGCCCATCAGTGGGAAAAGTCACTTCCTCAAGGCTCCATCACCTCCTGGACTGACTGCAAGAAAGCCTTCCTGGCTAAATTCTTCTCCAACTCAAGGACTGCCAGACTCCGGAATGAGATTTCCGGCTTCACTCAGAAGAATGCTGAGACTTTCTGTGAAGCATGGAAGCGCTTCAAGGGATATCAGACTCAATGTCCTCACCATGGTTTCTCCAAGGCATCACTTCTGAGTACTCTCTACAGAGGCGTCCTCCCTAAGATCAGGATGTTACTGGATACATCATCCAATGGGAATTTCCTGAACAAGGAAGTTGAAGAAGGATGGGAGCTGGTAGAGAACTTAGCTCAATCTGATGGCAACTACAATGAAGACTTAGAGGAGAAGCACCGCAGGGACATGAAAGCCATGAATAACAAGCTGGACAAGCTACTCCTAGTGCAACAGAAGCAGGTCCATTTTATCTGTGAAGATGAGACGTTCCAAGTCCAGGATGGGGAGACTCTCTAGTCATAAGAGGTGAGCTATGTGCAAAACCAGGGAGGCTGCAACAAAGGCTTCAACAACTTCAAGCAGAAAAATCCCAATCTGTCTTACAGAAGTACCAATGTTGCAAACCCGCAGGACCAAGTTTACCCTCCACAGCAGCAGAATCAACCTAAACCCTTTGTTCCATACAACCAGGGTCAAGGGTTTGTTCCTAAGCAACAGTTTCAGGGAAGTTATCAACCGCAACTTCCACCACCTGGGTTCGCACAGCAGCAACAGCAAGCTTCCACAACTCCAGACTCAGACTTGAAGAACATGCTCCAGCAGATTCTCCAGGGACAAGCAACAGGAGCAATGGACTTGGCCAAAAAGATGGCAGAAATCCACAACAAGGTTGACTGCACCTTCAATGATCTTAACATCAAGATTGAAGCTCTGACTTCTAAATTCAGATACATGGAAGGCTAAACTGGGTCAACCTCTGCTCCCAAAGTTACAGGACTTCCAGGGAACTCAATACAGAACCCAAAGGAGTATGCCACCGCTCACGCCATCACTATCTGCCATGATCAAGAGCTGCCGACTCATCATGCCCCTCACTCAATCACTGACAGAAGTTCAAGGAGACCTTTTGGCCTGTTAGAGGACCTGCCTGTAATGATCAATGAAGTAGAAGTGCCTACCGACTTTGTTGTGCTTGAGATGGATGAAGAATCCAAGGATCCTCTAATTTTAGGAAGACCTTTCTTGGCTTCAGTAGGAGCGATGATAGATGTCAGAAATGGGAAAATCGATCTCAACCTTGGGAGGCATATCAAGCTGCAATTTGACATCAACAACACTCCGAGAAGATCAACAATTGAGGGAAAGACTTTTGAGATCCGGAGAGCAGTTCTAAGAGAAGAATTTGAGGATGCAAAAGAAAAGGAACTCGATTGGTTAGAACTAAAAAGAAAGTCTGATCTCCAAGAGAGAACCATACAGAAGCTAGCCTGCACTGTCGAAGAGCTTAGAAACATTCTAAGTCGAATTCAAGGAGGAGTTCAACCTCAGCTCAACATCGACATTACTTCAAGAGAGAAAGTCATTTCGGATTTGTCAGAAGAAAAAGACTATCCACCAGAAGAGGAAGCAGCCTACTCTGAAGAAAGAAGGATTGAGTACTCAGCTGCGCAATTATCGAGAGAGGATGCTGAGTACGATGATAAGCTCAGTGGGGAAGAGGACTTCTTAAGTCCTTTCTGTCACACTTTCCTTGCGTAATAAGTGTGAGGAGTCAAGCTAGAGACTTAAAACAAGCTCACTTGGGAGGAAGTCCCATGTCTATCCTGTACATATCTTTTATTTTTCCTTGTTATTTTGATGCATTTTGTTAGTGTTTTCAGGAGATGAGTGTAAAGAGCTGAGTGAAGTGGATTATGGCTCTAAGTGTGAAGTATACTCGACCACATCCTGCAAGGAGCACAAGAAATTGTGATCGAGTATAATTGGGGTCTCAGTCTCAAGATTTCTGAAGTTTCAACATTTCACTCTATCACGCAAGGTCACATGCTGATGAAGAGATGTGGTCGAGTATAGGAGTCGATATTAGCCCAAAATTTCCAAAAATTCAGCACTATACTCGACCAACAAAAGCTACAGAGACTTACAGAGGCTTGGATGAGCTTACAGAAGGTTGCAGGAGATTCTGGGAAACAGTACTTCCAGACAAAGAGACAGACGCGTGGCCCACCACCACATACTTTGTCTCCCACCCACGATTTTGAAAAGATAAGGCGATTCTCTATCCCTCTTTCCCCATCCCAAACCGACATCTCCCCTTATCTTCTTCCTTTCCAATACTTGTTGGGGTCGGATCCCACACATTTTCGGTAGGATCCACTTGGATCTGTCCACGTCATTATTACACAATAATCCTCTCGGATTTCTAGATATTTTATTGGACTTAACCAGTTGGGAGTTCGATTCAGTTTACTAAAAGGGTTCGATCTTTACCAGTATGGAGTTCGCTCTTATTCAACATATAGTTCGCATAGAGAAAGGCCGAAGCGAGGAGAATATTGTTCGAGGCTCACGGTAGCAACAAAGCACGGGAGTTCGGAGTCAGCAAGAAAGAGTTCGGAAGGCCCACGTGAAGCCCAAGACAAGTTCAAGTTCAAGCCGTTTCGGTCAAAATGTAACTTATGTAATTAATGCGGATCAATATGATTACGAGTAGTAAATAGCCGCATTAATCATGTTTTCTCTATAAAAACAACCTCAAACGCATGTGTTTGGGAGAGGCATCTTTTTACTTACTACTATACCAGCAATACAACATACTTTTTTACTCTTACAATTTCGCAAGGCTTTTTGTATTTCGTTCTTATCAAATTCTTTTACTTTATTCTTTTCTTGGTTAATTTCCCTTTCGAAATCTTATATTCATTCGTTGATTTTAGAGTTTTTCTCCACTAAAATACTTAAAGACAATCGAGTGTGAATCCTACATCCACATTTTGGCGCAGTCTGTGGGGAGTTACCAGAAAACTCTTTAATCCCAAAATCTCTCTTTCCCAACCAAGAAACTATGTCTGACCAACAAGCGTTGAACGATTCAATCGCCTTGCTTAATCAGACAACCACCAATCTGACCACTAAGATTGGTACACTTGTTACTACGAACACCACTTTTAGTGAAAGGTTGAACTCAATTGAGCAAACCTTAACAAGTGTTCAAACCACCCAGAAAGATTTATCAAACGCGCAGAACGTTGTTTCAAGCCGTTTAGATACTCTGCCTTCAGTACAACCACTACAAGAAATGTGAACAACCATAGCACTTAAATATAGCGTTTTTCAATTTTCTGCTATAAATCAGGTACACACTACTTTTTTATAGCGTTTAGTGTTATAATAGGTTATAAGCGGGAATAAATTTTTAGTTGCCCGCTTGTTTTAATTTTTGTGTTGGCAAAAAGCCAAAACACTTAGAAAAAAACAAAAAACTTTCCCCAGCTTTCTTTATTTCTCTCTAGTGCCGAAGCTTTCTTCTCGATCGTGCCCAAGCTTTCTTTCTCTTTGCCGTCCGTCGCCGTCGTTATTCCGCCGCCGTCGTTATTCCGCCGCCGTCGTCGTTATTCCGCCGTCGTCGTTATTCCGATCCACTTTCATAAGTTTGTATCGTTCTTCAATCTCGACTCCCCTCTTCCATGTCTCTTCTTCAATCTTGACTCCCCTCTTCCATTTATCTCTTCTTCAATGTCGATTTAGGTTTATTTTTGGTTAATTTGGGTTTCACATATACTAATCCTCTTCAAAACTTCTCTGATTTTTGCAGATTTTTGGGTCAGATTTGGCTAAGGTATTAATTAGGGATTTTTAATTTTTTGGTTCACGTTTTCTAATTCGACTTGTTTCCATGAGTAATTGATTTGTTGTTCTTGTTATTTGCAGATTCTACAAATCCTTTGTCCAAGAAGACTTGAGCTTAATCGTAAGATTGTGAATCCTTTCTCTCCTTGTTGTTCTATTTTTGTTCGGCCATGTTTGTTAAGGAGATTGAATATGTTAGTAACTTGAATGTCTGATCAATTGAATTTTTATTGTATATAACTGGTCGAGGAGCTGTGTTGTGTTTGGTAATATGGAGAAGTCATGGGTTTGGTTACCTAGGTATGAAACTCTATCATATTCTTATACTTTTAATTTTAAAATGTGTTATTGAGTTACATTGATATTTGGACTTCATGGTTTTCTTTACAGGAATAGCATTGAGTATGTTGAAGGTGCAAATCAATTTGTGAATGCTTCATCGAAAGCTTTGGGTTATCCTTCATCGAAAGCTTTGGGATTAGTCTGAACAAGCTGGATATTCTTAACGCTAGAGACTCACATGTTCAGAAGCTTCTGGCTACACAAGCAGAAATGGCTACCAAGATTGAAGATTTGCAGAGTCAACTTCATTGTTTAGCTGGAAAAAAAGTAAGTTTCACATTTGTTTATCACAATGGTCATAATAGTTTGTAACCAATTATTTTTCCTCTTGGTAGCTATCTGGTGCTGATTTGGATGCTCAATCTAATGTATCAAACACAAACAAAGGAGGAATTAAGTGTAAGATATTGGATTGGTTTTCAAAAGATGAAGTTGTTGTCGGGGAATCAGACAACAACTCTCCAACTGAGCATAACATGGTATATATCTAAATTATTAATATTGCCATTGTTTAAACTATCAATATCAATTATATTACTAATAGGTGCATAACTCTTTAGGACTCTGATGAACAACCGATTTACAACATCTTTGCTTGGAATGGAACTGATATTGTTGCTGAGGGTATATTGATGATCAGTTGATTACACTTTTTAAATTTTGATTCGTTTGTTTCAAATCGTAGTGTTAAATTATGGATTTGATAATTGTGTTTGTAGATCAGGCTATAAACTAGAGAGAGTTTAGTGAAGTGTGACTATTACTCTTTGCTTCTTTACTTTCTTTCTAGTGTGTTGATGCATGTGAGTGAATGTCATATTTATTTGAGTGTGTGATCCTTTGAACTTATTATCAGAATAGTGATAAAGTCGTAGTAAATTGTCTTAAAACTCCAAGCTTTCTGGTTCCTTGTAAGAAAGATAATTTACTACTGAGTTAAGTAATTTAAGATGTGACTCTTGATAGATCTTTTAAGAAGTAAATTTGCATGTGCAGCTCCATCAATTATGGGGAAATGGATGACATGAACGCTGCAAACATGATCTTGGTTGGTATCCCCCTTGACGAACCACACTTGAAGAATCATCTGTCTATTCTCGTAAATACATAGAAGAATGATCTCAAAGCAGGAAGTCTTCCTGTGACCGAATCATACTATCTCATGGGCACAGTAGATCCCACCGGAGAGCTAAAGGAAGATGAAGTATGTGTCATCCTGTATGTTACTCTCCTCTTCTCTTACTTTCATTTTGAGTTTTACATGGAAACAAGAAACAGTGATTTGCTTTTAGTTGTTCATTTCAGGGTAATCCTGCAGAACTCACTTCGATATCATATGTCTTAGTATGTAACAATCTGGTATTCTTAAAGAGATATGTGAAGAATCACGATGACAAGCAGCTGGTGACTGAGTTGATGGCTATATATCGTGCATCATAGATTATAAGGCTTGTCTAGGATCTTGGTTTGTATCTTTGAATATCTGAAAAACCTCAATTTTAGGCTTTTTTAATATCAATTTGATCCGGATCGGAACCGTTTCTCTCACTCTCTCTCTATATATGCTTAAAGTTGTATTTTTGAATCTCTTTTTTGATATATTAGCGTAGAAACAACAATGCAGCCAAAGAGAAAGAGCTGAAGGGGACATGTGAATCCAAATTCTATATTTGTTGTATTTTCTGTAGCAGTTAGTTTCTGAACTCCTTGGCAAAAATATATTAAACACAAAAACATATACTTAAAACATTTTAATTGGAAAAATTGAATTAATTATTTTAAGGCATGTACTTTAGATTTCAAGTTAAATGATTTTAAAGATTTTTTAAGATTTTTTAAATGATTTTCGAATTTTGTAAAAGAAAAGTTAAAAAAAAAAAAATATATAAATAAATATAACCAAATATCTCAAAAAGACATAAATATTTAATTATAATATTAATAATTACAAAAATAATAACAAAGTTATAATTTTAAAGAGTTTAGGGTATAGAGTTTAGGGTTTAGGGTATAGGGTTTAGGGTATGAAATGTATGGTTTAGGTTTTTTGATTATATTTGTTTGAAATAGTAATAATATTAATTATAACAAATAATAACATAAATAAATTTCATTTTTAAAAATAGTTTAGGGTTTAGGGTTTAGGGTTTAGGGTTTAGGGTTTAGGGTTTAGGGTTTAGTGTTTTAAATAGTAGCTAATATTAATGATATAAAGTATACTATTATAACATAAATGAATTCTATCATTTTATTAATTATAACATCATTAATGTGTTTCAACAATATGATTTACATAATAAGAAGATTAGTGTACATGTATTCTAAGGCAATCATATGTGTTACCTTCAAATTTCTAAAAACGTTGCAAAATATTTTTTTTAAATTGCGAAAAAATTATATAATCATGTAAATAACTCATAAACATATTAATTAGTCAATATATAATTTTTTAAAAATTATATAAATAGTAAAAACACATTTTTATGCCTATAAACAAAATAAGCCAATCATAATGTTTCACTCGGATTGCTGATGTGGCGAGATCTCAGCCTTTCAAAGGCTTTGGCGGCTGCATGTTTAAGAAAATCTCATCCGTTCATTGCCCAACAAAGGCTTTTTTTCTTTTTGGTTAAAACTTCTCCTTTTTCTTCTTTTCTTCGTATCCTTCAAGTCTTCAACTCTTACATTCTTATGAGAAAACCAAACGTTTGCTTACAGTTTCTTCACATGTGGCTCACGGTTGCTACTTTTATTGATTCCGAGCTGTTAGAGTACGGTGGCTCAAGGCGGATTTCAATTGTGTATTTGGGTTTTACATGTCCGGTCATCTCCGTGATGGATATCTAGCGGCAGATCTCGCATCTGAGGGTGGTGACAACGAGAACAATTCTCCGGTTGCGTCGGTTAGGCTTTTAGGGTTAAATCCGGTGTCTTAGATTTGCCTTTGGCAGGATTAACGAAATTCATTGCCATCTCCGACTCGAATCTGAGAGAACCAAAGAAGAAGACGAAGAAGAAGAATGGTCTGTCGAAGGTACTTATAATTTCCATGGGTTCTTATAAACAAAAATTGAAAGAAAATTGTTTATTTGTTCAACTGAATCTAACAATTGTTTATTGGTTTGATAATCTGAGAGAATCGATTTATAATTCTTTTATTTTGCTTTTCTTATTTTAGTTGAAGATGAAGATGGTAGGCGAGAGATCCGGTTGAGGACTGTTCTCTTTGTAGCTGGCAAGTAACAAGCTTCATCGAACGTGAGCAGATCTCTTTGTGGCGGCGAGTAGGAAGCTTCATCCGACGGGAAGATCGAACGGCCGTCGCCGTGCCGTTATTTTGTCACCGTAACCACTTGTGTAAACTGAAAACCCTAATTTGTTAATGGGCTCTGGGCTTTTTGTTTGTAAAATTGTTAGTTAGGCTTATTAATGGGTTTTGTATTATATATTTGTAATCCATTTTTTATTTTTGGTCTAATTCGGTTCGAAATAACCGAGAAAAAAAAAAATTCGGTTTATTTCGGAATTGATTTTAAACCCTATAACCGAACCGAAAAAAGTGAGTACCGAACCGACCCGAACCGAACAATTCGGCAGAATTTTGTAAAACAGAATAAACCAATAAACCGAATAAACCGATTAACCCGAGATAACTGAACGCCCAGGGCGAAACAAAATCATAACGATTATTACACGTTATTATAAATATTAATAATAGCAACGTCATAAACGCGATCATAGTTTAATTAACTATAGCATTCGCAAAGTCCGCTATCTAAAGTGTCCGACTTTCTATAACGGGCGATGTCAGAGCGCTTAAGGAAACGCTATGGTAGATGAATAATAGCGTTTATCGGCCGCTATTAATACCCACATTTCCTGTAGTGAACTAGCAGCGCGTCAGCGTAAGCTATTCGTAACTCCCGCACAAAACAGGACCGAGAATACTCAAACTCCTCCTATAGACCAACCTGCTAGTACTAGCAATCAGGCAGCCGTAGGGGATGGGTCCAACCCAACCGGGGAAGAAATTCCCCAAAATCAGGGAAATCGTGTTATTGACGACGGATTCCTTATGAAAGATCCCGATGTCACCTTTTTAGATAATTTCGTCAAATTTTGTCAAGAGCTTAATGAAATGAAGTCGAAGTTTCATCAGGCGACCAGTTCGGCGCCTGAGATCGATCGAGTAATCGAAGAAACTCGGCGAACACCGTTCACTTAGAGAATCTCGAACCTTCGGATCAAGGATTCTCGAAAGGTCAAATTACCAACTTATGATGGTAAAGGAGATCCTAAAAATCACCTCGCTGCTTTTCAGATCGCTGCTGGCAGAATCGATCTAGAACCAGACGAGGAAGATGCCAGATACTGCAAACTATTCTCCGAGAATCTATCCGGATCGGCCCTGCTCTGGTTCACTCAGTTGGAGCCTGGAACTATTGATAGTTTTAAGGAATTGTCCTCTGCATTCCTAAAATAGTATTCCATGTTCATGGAAAAGGTAACTTCTGATGCAGATCTTTGGAATTTAACCCAAGGTCAGAATGAACCACTTCGCAAATATATCGCTAAATTCAAAGAAGTGATAGCCAAAATTCCTGGGGTATCGCACGTTGCTGCCCTTTCTGCTTTAAGGAACGGACTTTGGCATGAATCCCGATTTCGGGAAGAAATCATCGTCAATCGTCCAAGCACCATCCAAGATGCTTTATTCAGAGCTACCAATTGGATGGAGGCGGAAGAAGAAAAGCTTAGCCTCGCTAAAAAGCATCGGCCAGCAAAATTGGTCGTTGGAAATCCAACTAAAAAGTTCGAACCAAAAGATCAAAAACGGTTCGGAGTTAATCCTGCTACTAATGCTGTAGGAAAACCCTCCCCAAGCAAAGGAAGATACAATCCTCCTAATACTTGGGTTAGAGATGAGAGTGCCTATTGCGATATTCACAGAGTAAACGGGCATTCCACCAAAGATTGTAGCGTACTCAAAAAGCACCTCACCGAACTGTGGGCAGCTGGAGAGCTCGCTAACTTCAATATCGAGGAGTTTGTGGAAACTTATCACAAAGAAAAAGAAGATTCCGAAGCTTCCAATCCTCCTGAAAAGAAAGATAAGCCCAATGGGCCCGGAACTCCGAACACTCCTAAGAAAAGGATCGATGTTATAATGGGAGGATCCAAATTATGCCGAGATTCGATCAGATCAATCAAAAGGCACAAGAAATCAGCAGCAATTCAAACCGCTGTGGGTTTTCAGTCAGATAAACAAACACCTTCGATCTCTTTTGACAATTCGGACACTCAAGGATTAACAAGACCTCATGACGATGCTCTTGTGATAACTTTAGATGTTGCGAACTTCGAAGTGACAAGGTGCCTAATTGATACTGGAAGCTCGGTAGATCTCATATTTCTGAGCACTTTGCAAAGAATGGGAATCAGTAAAGCCGACATTATCGGTCCACCAGCACCATTGGTAGCTTTCACAAGTGACACGTCTATGTCCTTAGGAAACATAAAACTACCAGTACTTGCCGCAGGGGTTCCAAAGATCGTAGAATTCATTGTTTTCGACCGACCGGCCGCTTACAACATAATTCTCGGAACTCCGTGGATTTACCAAATGAAGGCTATACCTTCAACTTATCACCAATGTGTGAAACTTCCGACTCCTGGAGGAATCGGCACCATTCGAGGAGATCAGGATACATCGCGTTCTTGCTACCTCATGGGACATCGTTTAAAGCTCAAATAGAAATTAATGATAAACGCGAAGCAAGAAAGCAGCTCGCGTTACCCATGTGGTCTACGTTCGAATGAAGTTACCATAGAAATTGAAATTGATTCCGAATTTCCTGATCGAAAAGTAAAAATCGGTACTACTTTAGATTCAGAAATCAAAGATCAATTGGTAACATTCCTAAAGGAAAATA